AATGCTCAACAGTTCTCGTCGTGTTAAAATTTCCGTTCTCACTTACATTATTTCGAATAAAAACTAGATCCGCAGATATGCGCAGCTAATTTTCGGCAGCTAACTTCTTTACATATAAAAGAATAATATACAACGAAAAACATGGCGGGATCTCGTGGGAAGTAAAACTTTTACTCTACACGAATATTATTGATCCAAATATTTAACACTAAAAATCAAAAACTTTCAGCTTGTCATTGTAAGCACATAAGTTACACATTTATAATAATTTTATATGCAGAGGTATATTACAAACCTCCAGGAACACTGTCCATGTTGTTTAACACTCTTTCGTTTCTATACAAGGAAGTTATTTGTACTCAAACGGAAGCCACATAGCAGGCTCTAAAATGCAGCGTGGGAGGTACAAAACAAGAGCAGGTTTGGGTTAATGGTGTCATGCACCTAATAAAGCTACAGTATTCAGTTGAACGGAATTTAATGCAGAATTTAATATATTTTCTATCCCTATAACGCAAATATTTATTTTTCGAAATTTGAGTTTTCGACTTTTGGCCAGGTTTTGGCGAAAATTTTCCACTGTGCGACGTGGCGAGGGCGGGCATGGGCGATGACCTGCGATGTCAGACAGAGGGCTGAGACGTAGATGAAAGTACAATGCGGGAGCAAAAAGGGGGAGGCAGAACATGTATCTATGCCTAGAAGTTCGTAGTTTTTATTTGAATTGATTCAGTAGTGATTACGTGCGCATCAACTGCTAAGGTCATTAGTCCAGTAAGTGTAATGTATCTTTTATCGCGGGACGCGGAGATGCTCAACCCCCGTTGGATGACGTGTTGCGGCGCTGACCTACCGTCAGCTAACCGCGTTTCCCTCAACCAGGTATTTCTCACCAGCATGGCAGCACCCCAGCCGAGACAAGCACCGAAAACCCGACTCGTCTTCCGATATGTGTAGTAGTGTAGTACATGTGTGTAAGAGGTGAGGATAGGACAAGGAAGAGGAAGGTGAGATCGCGCGCGGTCCATGGCCGGTTTGTTACGGTACTGCTCTGGCTTCCGCCTGGTTTTCTATCGGAGACACCACATAAAACTACTAATCAAAGCAGCTGGCCGCTAGAATTTTTCTCTTTCACTCTTGAAGATGATATTAATTATATATTTAAACATGTGTTTCTCTTTAAATATCACGACATAATTGTCATGTATCTAATTCTAACGAACTCTAGCCAGCTTTTCTCAAATAAAACTTCCATATTAACTCATTGCATTACTGAATTGTTCGTTCACTTGCCAGCTGATAAACGTGTACCAAGTTCTATATTTTCATTTAGTAACAAGATTATCAGTTTTTGACTATGAACGTTTGGTAGGAAATCTAATACTATAACGAATTTTACGCATGTGATATTTGCCCCTGATGGCTCGACAACCCGTCATTCATTGGTGTTTGGCGGATCATGTCCTGACGCAGTCAAAGATTTTGTGTGCCTACCGCAAACATAATTGCAGGAATTTTTGGATTTGACCAGCTCTGCTCTAAGCAGATCTGAATGTCATTTGCGAACCTCTTCGTCTGACGAAGCTGTTACGAAGAAAGCCTCACGAGCTACTTTTCAAAAATAAAAATAAAATCCCAAATGGCTTTTTCTGTAGGATTAGTTCTGGCTTTGGCAATCAAAAGTACTCCGCACTCACTTAGCAACAAGTTCTATCTGAGATTTAACGGTTTCAGCTCGTGAGTTCATGGTGGACAAAATTAACAGGCGGGCTATAATGTCTCCAGGTATCTTCCATCAGCAAGGCTGGCTTTTAAAAGTATTCTATCACGTTAGGGATGAGTGTTTGAACTTAACTGTATTAGCAACATGCATTTCGTATCTATTTCTGATTTACTCTCTGACAGCTCTTGTTTCCTCTTGTAGACCACGTTTTAGATCTCTTTAAGAAATAATTTATATCTAGAATATATTCGCTGTTGTTTCATCTTGCAAGTGAATGCAGAGACTATTAAGGCTGTGCGTGACTGCATATGCTACAAAAGTCAATAATAGAGGTCGACGAAACATTGGCGACACTGCTTTGTAGTCTGTGCGGCTGTTTTGATGCCTTGGTGCATATGAGATCTTCC